CTGGAAAAGGCATACTTTTAGTTTTTCGGTAGCATTCAGCATACAGATTAAGTATTAGTAAAGAAAATAAAAATTATATTTGCCTAAGGTACAAATTACGAGCGCTATAAAAAGTTCTCATATTAATATAATAACCTATAAGATATATAATAAAAAAATACATGGGTATATACAAAATAAATTGATTATAGACATTCATAGAAATTATTATTATAATATCAGGACAAATTAAATGTATTAAATAAATATAAATGTGCTGGAACTATCCTCTCTTATTTCTTCCTTGTAGTCTATGTAAGGATGCAAAAGATCAATTTTCATTGAAGCGTTGACTCAAGCGACATCCACAAAGAGAGCAACTCCATGACAGTGTCTACTATTACCATACTGTCGATGGATAGCTCTCTTCATAGCGAGCGCTTTATCCTTGTTGAATTTTCTTTCCATGTTTCTCCCCTCATCGGACATTTCCTTGATAAAATAAAAATAATAATTAATAATTATATTATACACACATAATAAATATATTAATATTATAATTAATAATTACTTACGTGGGTATATTGTAACCTTTAGTCTTAAAGATCTCGTTCGCAAATATTGAAAAAGAATAAATAACCTAAAAGTGCCAGTAAATATTTTAAGATTAATAATAACTTCTAACGACGTGAAGTCGGTATTTCGATAACAATGACTTATTGTGAAATTAAAAATTTACTTATATAAAATCTATTTGGAATTAATAATGATTCTTTATTCTTATCTATTCGCATCTTATTTAAGGCGTCACTATAACATTTATCTGGTTATAAATAAAAAAAGCTATCAATGTCTTAACCTTTACCCTACTAGATACAATTTGATACCTGATTCGTACTAATGGGGGCACTAGAATCCGTTTTTTCACCTATTCAGGATGATTCAAAAAGATCTCTAAAAATTCATCAATATACTTTCAACTTTCTAGAATAAACATTGGCACTTCATTTTGGAAAACAATAAAATGTATAATTTATAATTACCAAAAGACGCAAAGAAACAGGAAACTCGCTCGGTAACTAGTGACCTTCCTTAGTAGAATAAGGGTTAATATTAAGATAAAAAAGAGCATCTCACACACACATTTACTTTGCTGTATATAAGTAAAATATGCATCATCGTATCTGATCATTTCATGTATCTGAAAAAATGTTTTTTTTTTCGAAATGTATATATTCATCACTAATAATAATTTGTAGTATATAATGTATATATAACTTATAATATGTGTTATGTATTAGGTGTTGGAATTAATTCGTAGCGTTTTTTAATGAAAGAATGTTATTTATTTCACATGAGCATTAAAAAATACATTAATGAAAGTACTTCCCATCACTTGTAAAACGCTACGAATTAATTCCAACACCTAATATATTATGTTTTTTTTATTTTTTTTACAGAAATTCTCTTTACATTGTATGCTGAAAGTCACTTTCTCAAAGAAAAAAGTTTGCTAGTAGCCGTAATAAATTTTGCGCGATAATTGTTATCGCGTGAAAGTCATTATACGCAATGTACGGCAATAGCGCACATTGCGTATAATAACATGAAAAACTGATCAACAAGATTTTAACCTGTTAGCGCGCAGAAAAATAGCTGAATTTATCCATAAATATATTTATTCATATATAATATTTGCTCTATAACTTTAATATAATTAAATAAAGCGTAGAATTAAAAGTAACACATTAAATTACTATTTACAAAACGATCAGCACAAATTTAATAATAAAAATATTAAACGTAATTTTAAACGTATTATATCGACGTCAGCAAAACAGTTGCTTTGGGAAAGTGAAAACTTCGAGATTTTTTAGAAATATTTAAATTAACTTCCAACTTTCAATTTTCAACCTTCAACTCTCAATTTTTAGTTCTGTTTCAATTCTTTTTATACTCATTTCTCAATCAATCTTCATCGTGTATATTTTAATTATTTTTTTCATAAAAGCCAATATTTTCTCACACATACACATGCACGCACTCGCGCGCGCGCGCATGCAAGTACTTGACAATTATTTTATTATTCTTGCGCCTTTAATTTAACGTTTCTTTGTATCTTAATTTTATTAATATTTAAATAATATTAATATTCATACACACACAATATATGGTGCTGAGATGCATTTGTTGAGATGCAACTATAGCTTTTCTGTTCATTTGCGAAACTCATATATATTTCAGCTGCATTTGTAACATACCGGCCAATATTAGCGTTTTGCAAGCAATAGCTCGCCGCAACTCAAGAAAGGACTTAGGAGCAAGGAGGCAGTCCCTGACTTAGCGGCATGGCTCGTTATCGGAAAGGTGCGAGGAGCCTCTTCCTCTTTAGCGTGCCGCCATCTGATTGCACTGCAAACATAACTGCTCCGCTACTAGCTCGTGCCATGACTCATTAACACTTCCTTTTGGCCTCTCAACAATAGGTGAAGCAGGAAAAAAACTGCAGTTCGGTGCCCCCTAAAATTTATTATCAAATTAGATGCAGTTTTTCATGTATAAGTTCACCTTTTTTCAAGGTGGGAATAATGATTTAATTTAAGATACGTAGGCGAATTTATAATAATTTGCAGTAGTTTCTAGCTTTCGATTTTCTCGATTTTTCATCGTAACAGCTCTATAAATCAAACGGTTATGAATATTTAAATTGGATGTTAAAAAAATTGGTTACAGATATTATAATGTATTGCAGCGACAGAAAGAAGCAATCTATTTTTTTGTATGTTCTCTCTGTCTTCCTATATAAAAGATTGATATTCCTATGAATTAAGATTGATCGTGCTTTTCATTCATTTTGGTGACGATGAATATGAAATCGCAAAATAATGGTTGGTTGCAAATATATTCGGTGCTTGTAAGATTCCACTAGTCGCACTAACTTAGCATCACCCGTAATTAACGTGTTTCAACTAATCCATGTACAAACCTGTATGACATAAACGAACGTCATAACGATGGAGCGAGATCGTTCTGCGTTTTATTTACTCAGATGACATTTTCAACGCGGTTATAAGCAACTGCTTAAACAGCCGTTGATTCGGTGATTGCAGCGTGAAAGGTGTTGAAATTTGAACTGGAAATTACTTGAAGATTACTTCTCGCATTTTTAATGGATTCCTATCCTAAGAAACTAATATGAACAGAAGTATAAAAGGCAATTAATTATATTCACTTTAAATTAATAATAAATTATATGAAAATTTTTATAATAAAAATAAGATTATTTATAATTGATCATTAAAATATTGTTAATTAAATGCTCTGTGATAATAAAATAGAATAATTTTACAATGTGTTTTACTATATGTATATGGAAAGTGAAATTCTTTTATTTTATAATCTTACTTTAGATATAAAGTTCTTTTTTTTTTTAGATTTAACGTCACATTCTGTACAAAAACTTCATATTTAGGCTATTAAAATCAATTTTAAAGGCAGTTAATAAACTATTATTAATAAAAAAATCAGTCCGCGTTTTCTATCACTTAATATATCGCGCGATGAAACGTACGAGGTATCGTCTTTGAGAGTCGCGATTGCCTTATCAGCTGGCGATGCGATAAGGCGATAACGAAGCGAGTCATTCCGATATTACCAAAAATCCTCAGCAACCTCGGCGATAATTCCCGAGTAGTAAATTTTAATAAATTGCACGCACACAAACGTAATTCCTCGCTCATCGGCGGGACGCACGTATCCCGCGACTGGAGTTTTCAGCAGCTTATACATTAATTATATACAACCACGTTAATTTACAAGTAGCTAAACGTCCCGATAGTTTACACGTTTGCATTACGTAATCGATTTTAGTCTAATCGCAGTCAACATATTCTTTTCCTTTTGCCGTAGAGGGAAACGCGTCCTCCCATTTGTAGAGAATGAGAGACTGCGTCGTAACGTTTCTTTGAGAAAATAACAAAGTAATACGTGATTGCTGGATTGTTGTTAAAAAATAAGCGCAAAAAACGAATCAACATCTCTGTTTCTAAAAAGTGAGCAATCTACGTTACATATTACTATCTAGACATGATATTATCGAAACGGTTCCATAATACGATACAATCACCGCTAAAAGTTTCGATTGATGATGTAATACTCTATGCAACTAATCGAGTTTATGTGAACGTTTACGACGAAATCTTGTCTTAACTGACAAATTATTTTTAAGAGATTCGCAAATACTGCCGTAAAATTGTTCGACTATGAAATAAAAGAAGTAATAAAATGAAGTGCAGAGCGAAACAATTTGATAATGCAAATTACGTCACGCTTGTTCTATTTAAAAACTGCAGTTAATTGTAATCATGTAATTGTAATGTGTTTCTACTTATGGAAATTACAATTTATAGAAAGAATATATGAATATATAAATAATGAATCCATTAATCAATCAATCAATTAATTAATTAATTAAATGTTACATATAAAATATGAATTATGTATTATAAATATAAACGTTAATAGATATTTTATTATGTGCGCAATAGAACTGTGCCAATAGTTAACGCTGTTAAATTAAAAAGACATTATTGTATAAAATACCATAATTATATTATATACTAGAGATTATTAATGTCGTATTTAATCTTCGGTTACAGTAACGGATCATTTGAATCTGAAGCGAAAATTTTTAGACGTTTGCATAATCTATACAAGTGGTTAAAGTTCTAAATTACAGGTAAAAAAAAATTTTGAATTTTACTCTATCAATCATCGAAAGACGAAGGATCACATTTTATACTTTAAACAGGACGCTTTACAATTTAATTTACAATTATATAGATGTAATTTTCGTATATGTATAGCTGTAGTTAAAGATTAAATAAATTTTGATCATTAAAAAAATACTATTTTTATAACATATAATTTTATAACATATTATATAATATGTCACATTTTTTATATCTGAAATTTGTCTAAAGAAATGTTCAATAATGATTATTAAAATAATAATTCTGAAGAATTTATAGTAAAACGTTATTTTCAATCTTGTTGTGCTCATTGTAAAGTTTTTAAAACTTTATAGCGTTTTTGAATGCAGTGGATTTTGAAGCCAACTCAACCTATCAGGGTACCTATCATGAAATCATGTTGGAATGAATTCCAATTGAAATTATTCCGTTTTCTCTAGAAAACGCAATGGAAATCTAGGAAATAATTGAATAATTTTTCCGATTGGAATCCATTCCGATTTTTTCCACAATAGATGCCCAGATCGTTTACCACGATAGTACCTTCAATCTTGTCTAATGAAAAATCAAAGTAGAGCATGTGACATCACATTATTAATCCAACTTGGATTGAGTTCAAATTCACTGCACTCGAAAACGTTACTAGATAAATAGTAGGAATAACGCGAACCTGTTTTCTATTAATTCTTTCTTTCAAAGAAAATCCATTTCTGTTACTTACAATTGTAATTAGTATTATTGTTATTTATTTATTTTTTTATCATTTTGGATTGTCACGTTTCTATTATATCTATTATAATTATCTATTATTAATTTTTTAAATCTATTATTAATTTTTTTAACAAAAAAATTAAATTTAAAATTAATACATATATACATATAGACTTATTATGTTCTATAATTTATATTTTTATTGTGTATTTTCATTGTGTTATACTTTAATATGTATTTAATATAACAACTTACAACAATTCCTGTCTGGAGCGTATGGAACCAAACAGCAACTTACATTTTGTAATTTACATTTTGTAAAATAAAAGATTGCATTTTGATCAAAATTTATGTGACAGCGAAATATAAATATCATCATAAACACACATAGTACAATTTTATAAAAAATTAAATTATATTCATAATTCCTGCAGTTTCTTTCAAATTAGTTGATCTACTTAATAAATTATTATTCTAACAAATTCCAACTATAAGTGATATCAAAAATTGAAATAAATAACCAAATAAATTTTATGAATTATGTATAATGAGTATACATATGTTATGAGTGGAAATAAAATAAACGAAAAATTTTTGTCAGATAATAAAAATATTATTTCTTACATTTGAAAAGTCGGAAGACATTTTTAATTTTTTTTATGCATATGCTAATACAACGAATTTATTGAATACAATTATCTTTTTATGTGAAATATATATTATAATTGTAGCTAAACTTAAATTTTGATGGCAGACCACACATTGTATTAATTGTTAAATTTATTCATTATTGATCATTTTGATAGCATCTTCGTTGAATAATAATTAATCATAAAGCTAAAGTAATGATTCATTGCAGACTGCAAAGCGACATGTAAAATTTTTTCTTTTTTAAATTAATTCTAGCACTAAAACAACTATTTTAGTACTTTCTTTTACTAATATATATCATCGGTTAATGTTCCTATAATCGATGTATATACAATTACAACAGAAATTAAAAACACAACAAAATACAATTTAGTGGAGGCAAGACAATCGATACATATATATATATATATATATATATGTATATATATATATATATATAGGTGTGTGTGTGTGTGTAATATATATTGCACATCAAGTTTGAGATAAGCGGTAAGTACAATGTTAAATATATACTAATAAATCAAACTTTCGATTTTCATTGATAATCAAACTAATTATTATCGATGAGAACTGATTTAATTATTCGCTATTAACGCTATTGATATGCATGGTGTCATCAATCGTATCTAACAATAATAGAAAGAAAAAGAGGTATCTCTACTCGTGTATATTACATGCGCGCGCGCGCGCGCGCGTGTGTGTGTATGTAATACTTGAAAAAATGTAAAGATAAAAAATTAATGCACTTTTGTTGTTCAACTTTTGTTATATAAAATTATTAACAATAATTTGTAACAGCAATTTGTAACACAAGCTTGAAAATTCTATCTCTTGTTTACTCATGAAAGAAAAAATTAGCCGTGTTAAGTATAATCCCTTTGATTTTTCAATCCAACATGCTTTTTTATGAATAAAACGCGATAATTTCCTTTTCACTTTAATGCCGTCAAATACTATAAATCAGTAATTAATTGGTTCTGGTCTCGGCAAAAAAATACTTCGATAACGTTAGGGTTAGCACGTAGATCCCGAAATTAACATTTCCATAGGCTGATGAGCGACGCGACCTCGCAACTGTACGTTACATAACGAAAAGTAGAGCGTACGCTTCGTATTGCTCCGCGAGCGCGCGATTGTTCTTTCAAATTTGCACATGAAAAGACGAACGACTGAGTGAGAAAATTTATTTTTAAAAAGAACAAGTACTTATATGCTGGTCGTGAACTCGAGATATATTTCATAGAAAAGCCGATGGTACAACCGATCTTATCGTATGTCGATCGATAAATTTATCTTAATCTCGCAATTAATTCTCACACTTGTCAAATAACATAAAAATGTCAAAAATATATAAAAACTATAATATTTGAAAAAAATTAGAATGTCTCGATTTTTATAATTGTTTATAAATTTATTCACTCGCTTCGATAATTAAGAGATTTTCAAATCGTCGTACTATTTGCTTCGATGCACGAAATCAATCTCAACGACGGATTATCGAAGCCGACCCATCTGGCTTACCTGCGGAAATCCAATCGAGCCGCGCGGAATCTATCTCTGCGCTACAGCAGATTTTGGCGAACTTCTGAATAACCTCCGATCCTGACAACGATGATCTGCACGATACCTGACAAGGGTGCCGATCGCGATAAGGCGAAAAATTTGTGGCAAATGACTTGACGGAATGAACAGACGAAGGAGGTTCAAGAACGAGTGACGTGGACGTCTCACGGCGTCGACTCATATACTCTATCCGCGCCAATCTGACGTCACGGGCGCGTTTCTTATCAGCCAGGAGGTCCAACACCTGTAAAGCCCACACCTGTTGGCAGTGAGCTTAAGCGCCGTCGGAAACACGCCCAACTTGTCCAACGACGACGACGACGACGACGACGACGACGACGACGACGACGACGAGGGTGACGAAATTTTTTTCGTGAAGCGTTACCCACAAATTGCTAAAATGCATCCGGTACTTGATACCGCGTTAGTAACGTCAGATCCTCATCGTTATTTTAGTTGAAATGTCTAATTTTTTTACATTTGAATAATATTAATTCTCCAACACCTTAAAAAAGTTTTACCATTTTTACAATTCTCTAATACCTTCAATTCTAGAATGTTTACAATTTGTAATTGAAGGAAAAAGTAAAACATTTATAACTTAAGGCCGTTTAAAATTTTTTAAAAATGACCTAAGATGCCTTACATCAAAGCACTATGGGTCATACATAAAAAGTAGATTTATTAAAAAAAATAATAGTGAAAATATAATATTGAAAAAGAATTTTGAATTAACTTACAGTCTTAACATAATCAGTAAATGTAGTAAAACAATTACACTAATAACTATAACTATAATAGAATTAAAAAATCCATAAACCTATAAATATATTGATCGGTGAATATAAATATTATAGCTAAATACAAAACTTATGAAGGAAAAATAAAATTAATTACTATTATAGGTTTATAAGCTGCCACTTTAGCACATACATATATTAGTTTGTATTGCTTTATTGTTTTCTCATGAATATTTAGTGTGTGATCTATGGTGTCCCAAATATTCTTCATATGGAAAACAGTGAAATATATATATCTAAAAAAATAAATGATAGATATTATTTGTAATGTAGTAAAATGAGAAAATACACAGATACTTGTAACTGACCTTCAATATATGTATTCTTTATTATAAAAATTATTAAAGCATTGTTAAATAGTTAAAAAATTATTTTCGAAACACAAAAATCATTAATGTCCCGAGACAACGGAATTTAATTAATATACTATCTATTAGGTACAATTAAAACATAGGCAACAAAGTAAGAATCGTATTATATTGGTTATATTAATCTAAACACTTCGGATTACCTTATAAACAGTCAATGACCCTCCTCAATGGTACTCCGTGACTTGTGGTGCCCCAGTCTCCCCTATATACATACATACATGCAGCGTATATACATATATATATATATATATATAATACACGCGCGTGCGTATATGTGTATACACATATTAATTTTTTATTAAAAAATATCTTTATAAAAATTCAAATGCATTGTTAAAACTTGGTTTTACAAATATCATATCTAGTCAATGTTTTTTAGTAATTTCAATAGAAATCTTCAATTAATAAATATCATTTATTTTGCATATTATAATAAACAAATTATTTTCTGTGAAATGTTTCATCTTTTTAAATAAACGTTTTTCACTTATGTGTGTTTCATTTTTTTATTTCTTAGGAAAAATTAAATTCCTATACCTCTCAACCATTGATTATTTTGAATAAAAACAAAGAATTATAAGAGGCTATATACAAAATGGAACTTGGTGTTTATCACTGTGGTCAGAATAGTAGAAAATACATTTCACATTACTATTGATGAGACGTTATGTAAAACGGATGTCCCGGTATGAAGGAAATATTGTTATGTTAACTGTACAATGCTAAATGAAACGCGACAAACTTGAGCGCAAATCAATCATTGATTTCAAGATGCATATCATCATATAAATCCATATATAATACATTGATTACGTATTTGAAGAATTTGCAAACTCAAGTGAAATATAAGAAGTGAGATATAAGAAGTGAAATATAAAATTGATGTACATTTGTGCACAAGCTAAATTATTTCTGCTCAATTATAAACAATCTTTTCAATGTAAAAATTTCATATATTCATTTATTTTCTTACTTTCTCTATAGCTCTATATAAAATTATCTTCTATCAATATAATTTTATATCGAAAATTATGTTTTACAATCTACTATACTTATCTACTATAAAAGCTACTAAACACATAAATTTGTATTTTTTATCATTTATATGATATTGCGATGTTATAAATCTTAGTTAGGCGCTCCTTCGAACGTACATCTTTCAAACTTCAGACTGGACTCGGTAACACAAGGTTGAGAGTCTCGCTCTGCTCTTGGATAACGAGAAGCGGAATGAATTTACGGCCACGGTGCCGCCGTGTGCGATATCAATGGCAGAAGTAAACGAGTTGGTTGAGGCAAACATTGAAGCGACGCGACGTTAAGGGAACGGTGGAGGAACGAGGTGGAGACGAAACTGCGAGTTTTACTCTGACGATGTCACGCGGGTTTACGTGGAGGCGTTGCACCTTATCTCGTGTCCCAGTTACATCACCATACCGCGGCTTTGTTGCTGCTACATCTATTCCGATCGCAAAAGACTGTCTCGTCTGCTTCGTATAAGAATTCTATATTTTATCTTTAACACATCAGAGTTAATTCTCCTACAAATTATCAAATTTCCTCAAACTTGTCTCAAATTGAATTGGAAGTACTTCTTCGTTTCTTCTTACGGTGCCTCTTCTCAGTTTCATTTTATTATGGAACTGGACTTCCACAAGCAGTTAGCTTGTTTCTGGAAAAAAATATTTGATTTTGACGTGAAAGAACAATAGCTAGAGAACAATTTGTTGGCTAAAAGTTAAAAATCATCTAATTTTTATATTATTTGAATTAATATAATTGATCTGTTTTCTGTTCCTGCATTAGATTACACTAGCACTCTCTTTTTCACTTTCAACAAATATCAAACATATACCTATCTTACTTCAAATTCCAAAAGTATACACTAGTTCAGCCACACAAAAAACAGATCTAATATTAGAAAATATAAATATTGTCCAAAAGGACGTTCTGAAGACATTATTAAAAATGAACAATATATTATTATGCCCGACTTTTTATTCTATAAAATTTCTCTTTTTTTATTCTATCCAAATTTCACAAAAAAAAAATTGTAAAATCGTCATTTTGATTTGTTGGTATCTAGACGAAATTATCTAAATAATCTAGATAAAATGACATAATCTTATTTTTACTAGTATTTTTATCTGTATCTTACTTAGATAAAAAAATGCACATTTTTTAATCTAAGATATACAAATGAAGATAGTATATATTCCAGTAAAAATAAAATGAAACCTTTCGTCTTTATCTAAATAATTTCATTTAGATATCAGTAAACACTGGTTGATTACCGTTACTAACGGTAATCAATGTCACATAATTACTAATATAATCATAGTGTTCCAAAATTTCCTGCCAGTACTGAAAATCTATATAGTTTACATTATGTGCACTATATAGCTATTCAGTACTAACAGTAAATTTTGAAACACAGCCTTCTTATACAAGAGGAAATTCCTAGTAATTCATATATTGGAAAATCATATATTAATTCATATATTAGTCGGCATCGTGAAATTATTAGCTAATTATTCTTTGTAAAAGCAATATATGCATTTATTCACGTACGATCATCAAACGAAATTTATAGTGAATGTACTGATACACATTTATAGTGCATGTTAAAGTCGTGTATGTATACATACAATATATTAATTTAATCTATGTAAAAGTAAAATGTAAATATTTTGAATTATAAAATCAAATTTTACTTAACAGCACAACAAAATGTATTAAGGATTTCATCCGTTTTTATATTAAATACATATTTTTACATTAATTTATATATGGCGGCGTTAGTTTGCATTAAGTGCATCCAATTGAATTTACTATTAGATTTCGCTTATGTATAATATACGAGTAAATTTGGACAGTTTAAATTCTCTCACCTGCATGCGTCTTTAAAAGTCTTTTTAGCTTGATCGGGCATTCGCTTGTACATAATGAGATTCGATGCACGGTATCTAATCTGACATTCAATGCGGGGCACTCCTCTTCTAGTAATTCTACGTCAAACGTAAAAAATATCGATAAATTATAGAAATAATCGGTAAAAAAACTAACGGCTCGATCTTAATTAATATCATTGGCGTATCAATGGCGTCAAGGAAAGAAAAGGCAGATTTTACAGCAGTTACAATATATGTATATATAATTTATTCATAACAAACTTCTTCAGGATTGGTGATTCCTTCCTCTATTCATAAAGTCGACATCGATTTCATGCAAGACTTTGTTCTGTATCCCATATCTACTTTAGCAAGTCCCACTCTTTCTTTCTTCGAATCTCGCAATTTCGACTCTAACTTCGCACATTTATTCTTTTTCTTACGCAGCAATTCCTTTTAAATTAAATGTACACTTGCAGATTGTGATACAAATTCTGGATTTATTAAATATTATAAGATTTTAAATATTATAAATATTATATAATCTTATAATATTTTAAATATTATAAGATTTTATTAAATATTATAAGTATTATAAGATTTATATAGAATAGCCTATAATTTTCAAAGAAGAGAGAGTCCAATTTTATATTCTCCTCTTCACTACTTTTTATTTTTTATCACACGAATCTACCCCCTCTCTCTCCCCTCCCTCCATCCCTCCCTTCCCCTTGCACCCTCCCTCTCTCCCCTTCCCTTTCTCTCTCGCTTCCCTCCCTCTCTTTCCCCCTCCTTTCCTCCCTTCCTCCCCTCTCTCTTTGCATCTAGCTTATACTTAAAATTTTTTCTGCCTCATCTCTTTTTATTCTTAGTATATTCTCTCTTTATTTTTCTATAATTATGACCTTACCCTTAATATATCATTGCATCCAGTTCATCACCCCATAATCCATTTATAATTTTTCCTTCCTCTTCAACTCACATTGAACCTCTCTTTCATTTCCTCACATTCCTTTACATCATTTTCTATACTTACTTTTCTATACTTACTTTTTCTATACTTACTATCCTT